TTTTTTTTTCCCGATTGAAGAGATCTATTGAATATTCGTAATACAATTTTAATAACTTCATTAAATTGAATTGTAAAATTAAGTGTCAAAATTAAGATTTGCAATTCTTTTCATATATTAAAAAGAAAAGAGTAAATAAAAAAATTTAGGAGAAACAATGAAAATATTATTACAACAATACTTTGCTACTAGATAGGGATCACATATTCAGTTGTGGGCCAAGTTTGCTAAATATTCAGTTATGCCCAAAAATATTCTTTCTTTTCTATTAATAAAATGTTTCATTTATACAGGAATTAATACAAAAAGTTGAATTAGAGTTATGCATGAGTGTAGTTTTCTTACTATGTCATGTTAAATTAAGTTCTATTTCAAGTAAAAACAGGCCATACTAACATCCAAGCACCTCAAATTATTCCACTTTTGTTCATTAGGCTTAATTTAATATTTTTTAAAAAAAAATCATTTAAATAAATATTTTTATGAAAGCTTTTATAAAATAAAAATATAATTACGTTTGAAAAAATTTTTACTTTTCAAACCAATGAGTTTTATTAGTTCTCAGTGAAACACATAAATGAAAGGGTCTAGAACGACTTTTTAAAAGGTATCAATACATTTCTATGGTCAGAAAATATCACCTTTATCAGGTAAAGTTTTGTAAAAAAAATTGAAAAATATTATGAAAAACATATGTTTTTTTTTTCAATGGTGGGCACTTGGGGGTTGTCCCATTGGTCACAGAAATGCCAGAACTGCTACTCTCTTCTCTTCTCAAATATATATATATATATATATATTTGATTCTTTGCTATTCCATTTTAAAGGTAATAAGTTAACTTTTATAATCTGTTCTATTGTTTTAAAAAAATAAAAATCAAATTTGATTTTAAACTTTCAAAACCTCAGATAATTGAAAAATGTTAATCAGTTTGTTATATATCCAATTTTGTAAAACATGTATATCAAACTATGTTCATTTTCTTACATATGAATTTTAGCTGTATCCAAAACAAACAGCTCAACAACAATTTAATCTTTTTAATAAATCGCAGATTAAAAATAGTTTTATTTTAATTTTATCCATTTAATTTGTTATGAAATTTATTATTTTAATTAAATATTTAAGAAAGAGTATGTTAATAATCATCTTTTAATAAAAATTGACCTTTTTTAAAAAATAGTCTGAACATAAAAATTGTCACTTTAAAAACAAGAATAAGAACATTTACATATATTTGTAAGAAGTATATTTGTATAAGTACATTTAATGTTAATATTAATGGTTTAATATGTATAGATATATATAACATTGTTAACAAAAATAAAATCTTTCATAATTCATCACAAACAACTTATTCTATACAGGTTGTCCGAAATACAACAAATGTGGCATGCATACAGAATTTAATGGTGGGATCTTTCCCAAGTTTTCCCAAAGGAATGCAGTGCCTTGCATTTCTTCGGTTTCAGCTGAAACTGTGCTGACAGCAGGTCCAATACATTCAAAGGAATGAAACTGCAAATCTCAAAAAGTTCTGATTTTATAATAATGAAGACTCCACAGAACAATTCAATGTACAATGAAATATTTGAAACAAATACTAAACTTTTATATGTGTGATGTAAAATGCACAGATTAAACTCAAACATATATCAAATATTCAGTTACTTTTTAGTATCTGCTCGACATAGCACATTTTGTCGCATTGTGTGAAAAATTATTAAAACTAAGAAAACTATCATTTTTAACCAAATTAACCTACACAAATGATATAGAAAACAGAAAGTCTTCTTAATAATGGAGAACTAGCTGTTTGGGTACATTTTTAAACTGATAATGCAACATATGATTAGCAACAATTACAATAAAACTATAATCAGTAATTTCAAATCTCTAACAATAAATTATAGTTTATACAGTTAGAAAATACTTTTTAATTTGATAAATTCTTAAAATGAGCAGTAAATAACTGGAATCAAATGTAAAACAATTTATGTTCAGTTATAAATTTTAAGCATTGAAATTATACTCACTATCATAACAAAGAAGGAGTTGCAAGCCTTTGGAATTAGGAAGAGTGACTATAGTGTGAGGTGTAATGGAGTCCTGACACTAAAAGAAATATAAACATGAATATTAAAAACTTTTGAAATGTTTTGGACAATGATTAAAATAAACTAAACAAAGGAGCATATATATATATATAAAGGGTACTTAAAAAAAAGAAATACTGACATAAAATTACAAAACAACTAATTATATCTATAAAAAATCATACACATAAAAAAAAAAGATTCTGCATAATCTAGCAGAAAAAATATTGTGTAAAAAAAGGCCCATCGGCAAAAAATAAATAAATATAAAATAAAATAATAATACAATACAAATGTGTAAGATGCAGCAAGTATAAAAAAAATGATATAATAATAAAAAAAAAATACTTGCATAAATGCCTTTCTAATTTAGGCTCCAATAAATGTTTCAATGATGCTAACAATTCTTTTTAATTGTCACACATATTTGAAAAACCAAAATTAGTTTATTTTATATATATTTCATGTGAAAAATCACATGTATTCCAAATTAGTTTCAATTTCCTGTTAAAAAAAAGGTTTTTGTTACCACTGCAGCAGAATGCTTTAAAATTTAGTGTTTAATCTTAGTATTTTAAGTCTTTTAAAGACAATTTTTAAAAAAAAAAATTATGAATGCAATTTTTTATTATAAAACAGATTTTAATTATATTTTACAAAGTTTGATATAACCTTAAATAACCCAAGAATACAGGGATTAGACATAGGAACTTCGTATATTAAAACCAGAATTTTAAAAAGTATATATTAACTGACATTCATTATTCTCTATGCATACAAGCACACTAGCAAACATTTCAGATTATTTAAGATAATTGCAATGAAATTCAATCATGAAAACATTTAATCAGGGAACTACTTCAATTCCAAACTTCCTTATGATTTTTGTGTATTGTTTACTACAACATTAACTGCTTATCATATCATACTTATTTATAAACCTTTTCAAGAGGGATCGACATGCCACAACATGCAGGCTTCTCCCAACATATCCTGGACTGTCTGGACAAAAGGGACATTCTGAATAAATCACTTTTGGTGGTCGACTTCCTCCGGGTCATGAATTTCATGGACATTGTTTAGCCCTGCTAACTTTGGGGATATGGAAGAGAAGAAAAAGAGACATTTAGGTCTGTTGGTGTATCTTTCTGTGACTGGGGGAGGAAATTGTAAGAGGTAGCGTCTGTTCGTAAAAAAATGGTGACGGGAATGAAAGAATACTACCACTGTTTTTCTTAAACAACGTTCACTACTTTTTCGACTATAGTATTTAGGCATAGTACAAGGACCACCAGAGTGGGACTCTTGTGCTTTTGTATAACTTTAAAAGAGCATAAAACCTTTTTCAGTGGATTTATTAGATTTAGCATTACATTTCACATACCGTTACATTAATAATAACATTTAACATTTCAATACCGTTTTCTATTATAAATTATCAGCCTGTCCTATGTTGTTATAACTTAGGCACCCTCAAGCATTCATTCATGAGCACCATGTAACACTTTGTTAATCTTTTTGTCTTGAAGTTTATCAAAGCAGAATCTCAATAAATAATATTTCAATGTCTATAGGTACATTTATGTTAAAAAAATTAATGAATGGAAAAAATAATAGATACAGCTTTTCCTTTTTTGTTGTTATATCAATCCCTCATTCACAACGATTTCAGTAAAGCAAAATTTAAACAATCAAGTCTTAGTTTACAATAAACATACAAAAGTTTTAATAACCATAATTATCAGTACCTATAATAATAACTATTTAATACATTACAATTAATATTTGTAATTTTAGTATGTTTATTAAGCATTTCACGTTTAATTTCTATCAAAAAATTTTACAAGCTGTTTTTTAACATATTCATATTAAAACAAATTTTAAACAATTTGTCACTGTTCTACAATAAGTTTGAGTGAAAATAGAAGAAATTTAAATAATTTCTGATGCACAAAAGACATGAAATTTAACTACAAATATAACTATTTGAATGTATTTTTTATTTTTAGAATTGTTAAATCTTTTCAACTTATGAAAATACGTCACTTCAATCAATGATAAATAATTTTTATCACTTTATTTGCCGGTTTTATGTTTTTATTATTAATTATAATAACAATAAAAACAAGTGGGGGAACGAAGATAATTCTAGTATAATTCCCGGCTAATTTGATTGATCTGTCTTTCTCAGTAAGAATGGTCGTTTCTATTGAAAATTATTTAATCAAATAAATTCCCTTAATGTTATTTATAATATTATATTAAATAAATTGTGTGATACATAAAAAAACTATTAACTACAATAACTTGGTTAATCATTGACAAAAATTAATACAACATTTTTAATTCAATTTTATTTTCTAAATAGCATATATTGTAATTTAAATCACTAACTCTAAAAAAAATGCTTTAGCCAGTTTCAAATTTATTTATAACATATCACTTAGAACCTTATTCCTCTAATCTCTTAGTTCGAATCAAATATGTGGTTTGATTTCCAAAGAATTTTCTTTTAAAATAGTTCCCCAACAAGTAATACATAAATATTTCAAATATTGTGCTTCAGTTGCAAATGATTCATATAAAATATTCATATTCAAAACATCATGTCATTTTCCTTTAGGACCAAATTTCATAAAAGAATGCATCTTACTGAAACTATGTAGAAACTATGACAGAAATTAATTTTTTTTTAAAATTCAGGTAATAGATGTATGAAATTTTAATGCTCACAAAAATTTTGTTCGATTTTATGAAGATAAACCAATGAGACCAAATTATTAGACTTCATAAAAACTAAGTTAAAATTAAACTGTATCTAGCACAATGAGAGGGGAGGAACACGAAAATTATCACAAAAGAAAAAAAGATTATGAAGAAAAAAATACCATTTATGATTTCATTACAAAAAAAGCATAAAAAATACAGTATTATAAGTTACAATTTCAAAATCTGCAATAACTTTTACATAATTTACCACAAATATAGCAACCACTAGTAAAATTGGTCTAAAATACATTTTTTTAGACCTAAATAATCAAAAATACAAATTTAGGGATAGGTGTAAAATAAAAAATAATAGTTTGATAACTTAGTGCTAACTCTATACTATTGACAAACATGTAGTGAGCATTTATGCAAAATTTCAATAAGATAAGGCAAACAAATATTTCAAATATCACACTTACCAATAGAGAAAATAACGAAACAGGTTTTGAGCTGCAGTAACTGCACTTATATTTAAAAAAGAATGAAACGGGGAAGAGAAGTGTAAAGGAATGTAAACAAAAACTGCTGATGAGTTAAGAAAAAGTATTGAATACAGTTATCATTCAATATCAGTTTAAATCACTGACTCATTAACCTTTACTATTGAGAAAAAAATAAAATAGCAGCAGCAAAATTTAAAAAAATAAACTAAAAATAAATTAAATTCCTAAAATATTTAATGAGATAAACATATTTAAAAAATATTCATCACTTATTAAATCTAACAAAAAAGTGGAGCTAAAATATCGAAAAAACGAGTAAAATAAAAACCAGTTTGTTCTCTTTTTTTATTTTATTTAGACACAACAAAAATAGTGAGTACATTTAATTAAATTTGTTAACAAGCTATATTCTCAAGATTTGAATGTCAAAGATAAATTTGACATCAATTCCAATTTGACTCTCAATGAAATAATAAAAGTTATAAAAACTTTTACAAGCCTTCAAAGAGCTGAATCTTTAAAATGCTGCTTATAAAATAACAAAATCTAAAAAAAAAATGTAAGCTTATTTTTTAATAATACATCACATTTAAATTAAAACCATTAAAATTAAACAAAAATACAGAAATTAATTTAGCCTTTAAAGAATTTGTAAAGTTTAATTTTGAAACCTTTTTTTATTTTATTTAAATGTAGAATACCAGTTAATAAAATTAGCCACTTAATACAATCAAACTTCTTAAGAATGAATGATGCTTAATTAAGTGACAGGCACCGTATATTATTAGAAGACAAGTCTTGCTGCAGCTCCTGTAAGAAGATGGGTTTTTAAAACTTTTATAACTTCTTCTCTAACTAGGACAAAAAAAAAGTTTGAGAGAGATTAAAACGAATTTTTATTTAATATTGAAATCTGAAATTTAATAATTTACTCATAATAAGCTTAAAATGATATTTGGTAACTGTTAATAATAAAAAATAAATGAAATCAAATAAAAATTAATTACATTGATTAAAATCAAAAGCTGCATCATAAAATATGAATTAAAAGCTATTTCAGTTTCCCTACAGCAAATAAAAAATAATTTATTAATAACTAAAATAAATATAATAATAGAATATATAAAAAGGAATACATAGTAAAGAATATATAAAAAACAATCCCGAACTTGAATATGTGTTAAACTGATAATACACTAGCTAATACTTACTCCATCAGTTCTTGATATTTTGCTACTCAGCCATGAGAGGTAATATACGCGTACTCAACCTTTTTTGCCAGACACTGTGACAAGAATATTTTGGCCTTCCAGGACTTCCATTTGCCGAAATTTTCTCCTCGATATTAACTGATACACCTTACCTTGACCACTACGGTCAAGAAGCATGAGTCCATTCTCTGTACCAATCAGTAGATTTACTCCTAAGTAACAACAGCTTAAATTAAAAAAGCAATAAAATAAATTTTAGCTACAAAACTAAGTTCAAAAAGAAAATATAAAAAATTATAATTCCCAGCGACAGTCTGATAAAATATTGCTATCAAATGTAAAAATTCCACCTAATGGTTAAGTCACAGTTAGTAGCACAAACAAATAAATAAGTAAATTACACAATGCAATGAGTTTAAACCAGCTTTTAATCTATTTTAATAAATGTTAACCTGCTTTAATTCCAATTAATATCAGCAAATTACTAATTAATTTTTTTCTACGAAATAATTTATAATTTTATTATTCCATATTAAAAATTTAATGTCCTTGTTCGTTACCCACGAGAAAACTTAGAAGGATACACAATAAAATATTTAAACATGGTATTGCAATAATAATGAGTGAAAATTTATTAATAAATTAATAACGTAAGGTTTACTGTTTACTTTTCACACTAAAAATAAACACCATCAAAGACTTTAGAACTATTAAAAAAAATATTTCTCTATTGAATGCTTGACTTTCAAACAAATGGCATGTTTTTACAGTTTTTTATTTATTTATTTTGATTGTTCTGCAAGCAGCAGAAACAATCATCGCCTGGTAAATTGCCTTGAAAAGGCAAGATCCACTGTTTGAAGTGAAATTATTTAGTTGTAAGTGAACACATTTATTTAAGAAGGTTGAAATAACAATCATATTTTAAAATAAAACAATTTAATTTGATAACTATTAATGAAAATAATAATGAAATTATTAACGAAGTTAAACTCATAAAATCTATATGAAAAATATTAATGGTTAAAAGCCTAGTTTTTAAAATATACAAAACAATGCCATCCAAAAATTTTTAAAACAATTATAGTCTTTTTCTTTGTAAAAAAGCCAGCAGTTAAAATATGCAAGTACATACAAACGTAAGTCCATATAAAGGGCTATAATGTATTCAGTCTTGTTCTAAATGTATCACGGTTTTTTTTAAAAAACTCACACCTAATTTTATCACTAATCTAGCACTAAAACTAAATCAGGTAATTTGGATATAAACTTTTGATGTTTGAGAAAAAGGATTTTGTTTTGAAAAGGAAATGAACACATATGAGGAGTGAAATAAGAACTAATAAGCACTTTATAGGAACCCTGTAACAGAATTTAGGTTTCAGGAATAATATTTACATAATTTACTTTGCTAAATAATCGTGCATCAAAAAAGAGAGGGAAAAAATATTTTTAAAAAAGTGCTCGATTCTCTTTGCATAAGGCAGCTCATATGATATCAGAGTTGAATTGTACTTTCTTATTTCTGGAGTGTCATCAGATGACTCGTGCGATGTTGGTGTAACATTGACACTATGATGGCTCTCTTTCCTTGGAGATTGAGAGGGACCAGTACCACCACCAAACCAAAATATGAGAAAAGAGCGCTGTTTGTGTTGTAGTCTATTTTAATAAATGTTAACCTGCTTTAGTTCCAATTAATATCAGCAACTTACAAATTAATTTTTTTCTACAAAATAATTTATAATTTTATTATGCCATATTAAAAATTTAATGTCCTTGTTCGTTTAGGTTTAGGTTTCAGGAATAATATTTACATAATTTACTTTGCTAAATAATCGCGTATCAAAAAAGAGACAGAGAAAATATTTTTAAAAAAGTGCTTGATTCTCACTCCATAAGGCAGCACATAGAATATCAGAGTTGAATCGTGCTTTCTTATNTTAAAATTATTAAAAAAAAATATTTCACTATTGAATGATTGACTTTCAAACAAATGGCATGTTTTTACAGTTTTTTATTTTGATTTCTTTTGCGAGCAGCAGAAACGATCATCGCCTGGTGAATTACCTTGAAAAGGCAAGATCCGCTGCTTGAAGTGAAATTATTTAGTTGTAAGAGAACTCATTTATTTAAGAAGGTTGAAATAACAATCATATTTTAAAATAAAACAATTTAATTTGATAACTATTAATGAAAATAATAATGAAATTATTAACGAAGTTAAACTCATAAAATCTATATGAAAAATATCAATGGTTAAAAGCCTAGTTTTTAAAATATACAAAACAATGCCATCTAAAATTTTTTTAAACAATTATAGTATTTTTCTTTGTAAAAAAGCCAGCAGTTAAAATATGCAAGTACATACAAACGTAAATCAATATAAAGGGCTATAATGTATTCCGTCTTGTTCTAAATGTATCACCGTTTTTTTTTAAAAACTCACACCTAATTTTATCACTAATCTAGCACTAAAACTAAATCAGGTAATTTGGATATAAACTTTTGATGTTTGAGAAAAAGGATTTTGTTTTCAAAAGGAAATGAACACATTATGAGGAGTGAAATAAGAACTAATAAGCACTTTATAGGAACCCTGTAACAGAATTTAGGTTTCAGGAATAATATTTACATAATTTACTTTGCTAAATAATTGTGTATCAAAAAAGAGACGGGGAAAATATTTTTAAAAAAGTGCTCGATTCTCACTCCATAAGGCAGCACATAGAATATCAGAGTTGAATCATACTTTCTTATTTCTGGAGTGTCATCAGATGACTGGTGCGATGTTGGTGTAACATTGACACTAACATGGCTCTCTCTCCTTGGAGATGGAAAGGGACCAGTGCCATCACCTAACCCAAATGTGAGAAAAAGAGCGCTGTTTGTGTTGTAGTTGAGGAAGGGCCTTTCCAACAGCTTGCCTATACTGTTACATAAAAGAATAAAGTTATTCTATTAGAAAAATAAAACTAAGAGGTAAACAGACAATAAAGCAATATAAAAAGCAAGCATCAAGAAACTATAAATATTAATTCATGCTGTATTATTTAAAATTAGCACAACAAACAAAACCAATACTTATTTTAAAAAAAGTGGTGATTTTCTTCTAACATTTAGTGCAATTGCAATAACATATAAAAAAATTTTTAACACTTACTTCCTGATATATCTGCAATGAAAATTAAGATACTTTTATTATACTGATTTCTTTAGAATATTTAAAGCGAAAGTCAAATTTATACATGAGTAACATTACTTTTCATTTCAGTTAAAATAAAAACTAAATATTTTCAGCAAAAGTTGTGTAATGAATGTATATGTAGTTACATATGTTATAGTGAATGCTAAAAACTTGGTAATTTCTCATTCCAACAACATAACTAATTACTATTAAAAAAGATAACCATACACAAAAATTTTAATGAGACTTAAAACTAGAATATTATATTATGTTGTTCCATTTAAAATATGTTATTTATAAATTCTAAAAACAAACAAAAAAATTATGATAATTCCTACTTAAAAAGCATAACTCTCTCTAACTCTCTCTAGAAACACATAAAATTTTAGTGAATATTTTATTTTAAAAAAAAATCACATATTAATAGCACATGTGGGTATATTTTCTGATAATTAACTTTAAAAATTATTAATGTTTCAGTCACTAGAATATCTTACTTAGAATATATATTGAATGAACCAGTTATACAAGTCACAATAGGAAAAAACGAATATCTTAATTCTAACTAATATTTTGCAGGGGTGACATTAAAGAAATGGGGAAACGGAAGGGAAAAATAATATATTATGCTTTAAAAACAAATAAGAATATTTTAAGTGCAATAAATGCATCAAGTAACAAATCAACTAGATGTTTCCAGGGGTCTGTCCAGACATTTTGTAAAAGGTCCGTTTTTGTAAAATTGTGAAAAAATTAATTGTAATTTGTGAATAAAAAATAAACGTTAAGTCACATTCTTTCAACCAGGGTCCTGCTTTTGTGAATTTGTGCAAATAGGGTCCTGTTATTACAAAAATCCTTTACAATGAGTTTTTAAATTGTAAATGGATACGAGATTATGCTCAACACTGTAAAATAATAATAAAAACAAATTCAATTATAAAAAATAAACAGCTATTGCTGCTACTAAATTAGAAATGCAACACACAAATATTTGGTATTTAGTCTATACTTAGTTCCTTTGCATTTGTCCTTTGCATTGGTCAATACACTTTTTCTCATAAGTTTATCCACGCTTCCTGGGAAAGGTTCATTCGATTAGTAAAACAATAATGAAGATAAATAAATCTGTGAAGGGTCCACTTTTAAGTTAAAATATTTTGTTAAGGGTTTGTTAATGGACCCAAATATCTTCTAAATAGACCTTAATTTTTGAAACCAATGCCATACAGTGTGCTTATTCACAGCACTACCCCCTGACACTTGGCATATTCGGAGTTTTCATGCAGCTAGTGATAAGCAGTGTATGGTGTACCTGCTTTTATAACAACTAATATTCCTACTCTGAACCGACAGGATTTTTGTCCACTTNAGTTAAAATATTTTGTTAAGGGTTAAGCAGTGTATGGTGTACCTGCTTTTATAACAACCAATATTCCTACTCTGAACCGACAGGATTTTTGTCCACTTTACACACCAATTTACTTTTCACTCAATGGCAAAGAAAAGACAGCAAGAACTTTACTAGTTACCATATATATATTATATTAAATTACATAATTCAATGATGTCTTGATAACTACGTGCTTGAGAACTAAATTTAACATCAATAAAACAAGTCCTAAATAAAGCAAAGAGAAAACTTTTGTTACTTTTAAATCTATTATATGTTATTAATTCAGAAAAAAAACTTCTTTTTATTTAACCAACATATTAGTCATTGTGTTTCTTTGGATTATTATTTTCTTAAGTTTACTAAAGTTGCAATTTTTAAAATACCATATTTATTGCAATATAAGCCACCCTTTCCTTTTCAATGTTACTGAAAATCGAATGCAGCTTAGAGTCGAAGGTGTAAAAATTTGTTGAATGGGAGAAATTTAGTTTTTACCCCTTTCAAATGGAAAAATGTAACGATCCATTCTGGTCACTGCACTAGTCACGTTCCATAGGTATATCTTTAGTGTTCAATCTATTCTGAACATGATTGTCTGCATAACAAATGCATAGGATTTCACGATAGACAACTGCTTGTAGAAAAACAGCGACACCAGCACCAATTCCAAAGTCAGTTGTGACAGTGGGAGTGACCAATCATTTTCAGAGCATGATACAGTTAGAACAATTATAGTTTCATGTGTGTATTTAATTTATTTAAAAGTTATTAATTGTGAAAAATTAATTTAATCAATCATTCACTTATTATTACTTCTTCGTATTAATTTCATAAATATCTGTTATCAATAAACCTTTATACGCTACTTTTCATTTTTCACAAATATGTATTCAAAATTTGGAGTACAGATTAAATTCAAATAAATACCATATGATCATATTGATCAGATATGAAGATCTATCACCAGATCAAAGTTTAGAGACCCACAGAAAAATCAAACATTAGTTACAAAAAAAATTCATTAAAACTCGGAAGGATATCAAAATAATTTACTCACATGAGCGGGTATATAAATATCATAGACAGCACCAGAATCCAAATCTACAGCATGAAAACCTTCAGTAGAACCGCACACTACTTTGAGCCAAACACCCTCTTCAATCGCCATATCTATTAGAGCAGGCCGGTGAGCTAAGTCTGCAAAAGACTTGAAGGCCATGAATTTGTGATACGGTATTGGTGCCCATTAATAAATTTCTATGCTTTCTTTCAAGGCGATAACGAGGAACTTTATTCTTTCAAATTCGACTGGAAAAAAATTATAAAAGCACTCACTCTTTGGTATAGTAGTGATATATTACTCATAAAGTTCTTAAAATTATAAAATAAAGAAATCAAATACTGGTAAGAACTGAACTCTTAATTAGAATTAATCATCATTACAATGCTGTGATAAGTAGTCTAAGGAAAAACCTACAAACAGGTTTATAAATAATATTTGGATTTACGTTTAAGATTACACTTATTAGAATTGATGTAAATATAAAATTCAAAATAAAGTTTTAAATATTAACATCACTAAACAAAGAAATCATACTTTTGTTAAAAGAAGTTATATTTAAAAAAGAATGAAACGGGGAAGAGAAGTGTAAAGGAATGTAAACAAAAATTGCTGATGAGTTAAGAAAAAGTATTGAATACAGTTATCATTCAATATCAGTCTAAATCACTGACTCATTAACCTTTACTATTAGCATTTAATTCAGATTTTTATACTACTGCTATAATTATTTTTCAAAAGAATTACCTGGAACTAAAATAATTTCATAATGCATAAATCTCTGCATATGCAATTTTAATTATAAGTAATTATTCTACAGACTTTTACAAATTCTGAAAATAGTTAAGTAATTTTCTGAACCTCAGACTTTAAGCTTTGAGAAATTAAAAGGTTTTCGAAAAATATATTTGTTTTTATTTTTTAACTCAATGAGATCATCTGAAAAGTTAAAATTGCAACTTTTCAAACAATCCAAGTCAACTTAACCTAGCAGTCCAAAATCTTAATCCATAAGGATTATTCCTAGTGCAGTGATAGGACATGTGCCTATAATACAAAAATATGATGGAAACTTAAAGCATTAGCATAGAAGCAAAAGAATCATTGTGCTGAGACAATTCTTATAAATATACACTTTAAGCTTTGTTTACTATTTTAAACATCTATTTGTAAATTTTTTAACACTTATTTTGAGCTATATCCAATTTTGTAAAACATATATATCTAACTATGTTCATTTTCTTACATATGTTTTTTAGCTGTATCCAAAACAAACAGCTCAACAACAATTTCATCTTTTTAATAAATTGCAGATTAAAAATAGTTTTATTTTAATTTTATCAGTTCATTTAATTTTTTATGAAAGTTATTATTTCAATTAAATAAAACAGAAAGAGTATGTTAATAATAATCTCTTAATAAAAATTGACCTTTTTTAAAAAATAGTCTGAACATAAAAATTGTCACTTTATAAAAAACAAGAATAAGAACATTTACATATATTTGTAATAAGTATATTTGTATAAGTACATTTAATGTTAATATTAATGGCTCAATATGTATAGATATGTATAACATTGTTAAAAAAAATAAAATCTTTCATAATTCATCACAAACAACTTATTCTATACAGGTTGTCCGAAATACAACAAATGTGGCATGCATACAGAATTTAATGGTGGGATCTTTCCCAAGTTTTCCTAAAGTGCCTTGCATTTCTTCGGTTTCAGTTGAAACTGTGCTGACAGCAGATTCAATACATTCAAAGGAATGAAACTGCAAATCTCAAAAAGTTCTGATTTTATAATAATGAAGACTCCACAGAACAATTTAATGTACAATGAAATATTTGATAGAAATACTAAACTTTTATATGTGTGATGTAAAATGCACAGATTAAACTCAAACACATATTAAATATTCAGTTACTTTTTAGTATCTGCTCGACATAGCACATTTTGTCGCATTGTGTGAATAAAATTAAGAAAACTATCATTTTTAACCAAATTAACCCACACAAATATTATAGAAAACAGAAAGTCTTCTTAATAATGGAGAACTAGTTGTTTGGGTACATTTTTAAACTGATAATGCAACATATGATTAGCAATAATTACAATAAAACTATAATCAGTAATTTTAAATCTCTAACAATAAATTACAGTTTATATAGTTAGAAAATACTTTTTAATTCGATAAATTCTTAAAATGAGCAGTAAATAACTGGAATCAAATGTAAAACAATTTATGTTCAGTTATAAATTTTAAGCATTGAAATTATACTGACTATCATAACAAAGAAGGAGTTGCAAGCCTTTGGAATTAGGAAAAGTGACTATAGATTGAGGTCTAATGGAGTCCTGAGACTAAAAGAAATATAAACATGAATATTAAAAACTTTTGAAATGTTTTGGACAATGATTAAAATAAACTAAACAAAGGAGCAGATATCTATATTATATAAAACGCTAATATATATATATATATATAAAAAAAGGTACTTAAAAAAAAAGAAATACTGAAAACATTTAATCAGGAAACTACTTCAATTCCAAACTTCCTTATGATTTTTGTGTATTGTTTACTACAACATTAACTGCTTATCATATCATACTTATTTATTAACCTTTTCAAGAGGGATCGACATGCCAGAACATGCAGGCTTCTCCCCAACATATCCTGGACTGTCTTGGTCTGGACAAAGGGGACATTCTGAATAAACCACTTTTGGTGGTCGACTTCCTCTGGGTCATGAATTTCATGGACATTGTTTAGCCCTGCTAACTTTGAGGATATGGAAGAAAAGAAGAAGAGAGAGGGATCGACAAGACATCTGTTGGTGTATCTTTCTGCGACTGGGGGAGGAAATTGTAAGAGGTAACGTCTGTTCGCAAAAAAATGGTGACGGGAATGAAAGAATACTCCCACTGTTTTTCTTAAACACCGTTCACTACTTTCTTGACTATCGTATTTAGGGATAGTACAAGGACCACCAGAGAGGGAATCTTGTGCTTTTGTATAACTTTAAAAGTGCAGAAAACCTTTTTCAGTGGTTTTATTAGATTCAGCATAAAAAATTGAACAAATAACATTTCACATACCATTTTCTATAATAAATTATCAGCCTGTCCTATGTAATTATAACTTATGCACTTTCAAGCATTCATTAGCACCATGTCACTTTGTCAATCTTTTTGTTTTGAATTTTATCAATGTAGAATCTCAATAAATAATATTTCAATGTCTATAGGTACATTTATGTTTAAAAAAATTAATGAATGGAAAAAATAATAGAAACAGCTTTTTCTTTTTTGCTGCTATATCAACCCCTCATTCACAACAATTTCTGCAAAAGCTCTTTATAAAAAACAAGAATAAGAACATTCACATATATTTGTAATAAGTATATTTGTATAAGTACATTTAATGTTAATATTAATGGCTCAATATACGTATAGATATATACAAAATTGTTAAAAAAGTAAAAACTTTCATAATTCATCACAAACAACTTATTCTATACAGGTTGTCGAAATACAACAAATGTGGCATGCATACAGAATTTAATGGTGGGATCTTTCCCAAGTTTTCCTAAAGGAAAGCAGTGCCTTGCATTGCCTCAGTTTCAGCTGAAACTGCGCTGACAGCAGGTTCAATACATTCAAAGAAATGAAACTGCAAATTTCAAAAAGTTCTGATTTTATAATAATGAAGACTCCGCAGAACAATTTAATGTACAATGAAATATTTTAAATAAATACTTAACTTTTATATGTGTGCTGTAAAATGCACAAATTAAACTGAAACACATATTAATAATTCAGTTACTTTTTAGTATCTGCTCAACATAGCACATGTTGTCGCATTGTGTGAAAAATTATCAAAATTAAGAAAACCATCATTTTTAACCAAATTAACCTACACAAAAATTATAGAAAACAGGAAGTCTTCGAAATAATGGAGAACTAGTTGTTCGGGTACATTTTTAAACTGATAATGCAACATATGATTAGCAATAATTACAATAAAACTATAATCAGTAATTTTAAATCTCTAACAATAAATTACAGTTTATACAGTTAGAAAATACTTTTTTTAAAAAAAAAATTTGATAAATTCTTAAAATGAGCAGTAAATAGCTGGAATCAAACGTAAAACAATTTATGTTCAGTTATAAATTTGAAGCATTGAAATTATACTCACTATCATAACAAAGAAGAAGTTGCAAGCCTTTGGAATTGGGAAGAGTGACTATAGTGTTAGGTGTAATGGAGCCCTGAGACTAAAAGAAATATAAACATGAACATTAAAAACTTTTGAAATGCTTTGGACAATGATTAAAATAAAATAAACAAAGGAGCAGAATATATATATATATATATTCTGCTCCTCTCTCTCTCTCTATATATATATATATAAAGGTACTTAAAACAAGAGAAATTTTGACATAAAATTACAAAACAATTAATTATATTCTGACATAAAATTACAAAACAATTAATAATATCTATAAAAAAATCATACACATAAAAAAAAAGATTCTGCACAATCTAGCAGAAAATATATTGTGTAAAAAAAGGCCCATCAGCAAAAAATAAATAAATATAAAATAAAACAATAATGCAATACCAATATGTAAGATGCAGCAAGTATATAAAAATAGAATAATAATAATAAAAAAAAATACTTGTATAAATGCCTTTCTAATTTAGGACCCAATAAATGTTTCAATGATACTAACAATTCTTTTTAATTGTCACACACATTTAAAAAACCAAATTAGTTCATTTTAATATATATTTCATATGAAAAAACACATGTATTCCAAATTAGTTTCAATTTCCTGTTAAAAAAAGTTCTTTGTTACCACTGCAGCAGAATGCTTTAAAATTTAGTGTTTAATCTTAGTATTTTAAGGGCAAGGACATTATAGTATTTTAAGGGCTTTTAAAGACAATTTTTGAAGAAAAAATTGATTATAAAACAGATTTTAATTATATTCTATAAAGTTTGATAAAACCTTAAATAACCCAAAAATACAGTGATTAAACATAGGAACTTCATATATTAAAACCAGAATTTATCACTGTGTGAGTCATTAAAATGAATAATCTAAATATAAACACAGCAAGCTGTTTTTTTTACGCAAAAAAACACTGTGGTACCTCGTTAATGTGAACATGCTTAACATAATTTTTTTAACAGGGTGCTTAGCCAGATTTTTTAACAAAAAATAAGTACCTTTTATATACTTTTTAAGCACTCTAATTAGGATCTGTGCAGCAATAAAAATATTTTTTTTCTATTGTTTAAAGTTCTTACTTTATAAACATAATGAAATTCAAAAGAATCAAAATTAATTTAAAAAATTCAAAATCATCATAATAAAATTCACAATCAATAAAATTCAAGAACATTTTTGAAAAAATTACGCAATCATGATAAAGTAACTAGTTTTTGATAAATATTGCAGAGAAAAATTTGAAAATCGTGATAATGTGAACTACTTTCAACATGAACAAATTTTCTGTCTCCCTTCGAGGTGACATTAAACAAGGTTTGACTGTATGTACATAAAATTTGAGAATAGAAGNAAAATCGTGCCCTTTTTTGTAATTTAGAACGAGAATCGACAAGGCAAAGAAAAGAAAAATCTCATTTCAAAATATAGAAAATTATGCACTTTTTACAACCCCGAAGTAAAAAAAAACCCACCTTTAAGGGCGTTTAAAAAACGCAAACAAAAAAAATAAGCAAATTTAAGGACTTTTTAAATATGCTAAGCACCCTGTTTAACATGAATTAAATTTTTATTCCCTGCATAATTGAATACGTACATAATACTTTAAAGTACTTTTAACATGAAATATCTTTTAAGGCAGGGGTCGGCAACCNATTATAAGCATAAACACTACACATAAATTTATGGACATAAATACAAAACTTAGATAACATAACACTTATGCATTAATTCTTGTTTACCTATTTTAAAATGAATAGCACATTGAAGATCTGCTACATTTATCCAACCACTTCTTTTTTCAATCTAAAATATGATCACAGTAAGTAAATTACAGTTAAGTAAATTGTTTTCATTAACTATAAAAAAAAGAATGGATAAAAAATTAACTTCTTAAAATATTAACTTAAATTAAAAAAAACTCATTTTAGTAAATTTTTTTTGTGGCTTTTCATTAAGCATAACAATAACTTTTAAATAATTTACCACTAATATAGCAACCACTAGTAAAAATGGTCTAAAATACATTTTTTTAATGTCATGTCATCAATTCCANCAACCACTAGAAAAAATGGTCTAAAATACATTTTTTTTAGACCTAAATAGATCTAAATAATCAAAAATACAAATTTAGTATAGGTGTAAAATAAAAAATTATTAACTTAGTCCTAACTCTATACTATAGACAAACAGCATATAGTGAGCATTTATGCAAAATTTCAATAAGATAAGGCAAACAAATATTTAAAATATCACACTTACCAATAGAGAAAATAACAAAACATGTTTTTAGCTGCAGTAACTGCACTTATATTTAAAAAAGAATGAAACGGGGAAGAGAAGAGTAAAGGAATGTAAACAAAAATTGCTGATGAGTTAAGAAAAAGTATTGAATACAGTTATCATTCAATATCAGTTTAAATCACTGACTCATTAACCTTCACTATTGAGAAAATAGCTGCAGCAAAATT